AAATGCAGATGTTTTAATTAGAGATGTAATTGCAAAAGTGGTACTTTATTGCCCTGTGCCACTGTCCTTGTTCTCGCAAAGCTGCTAGAGGAGGTAAGTGCTTGATGTAAGTTTCTTGCTAAATAAAGTGTACAGTGTGTTCAGTCTCTTCTTAAGGAGATGTTCCTTGGTAAGGAAGGACAAACTGCATATTTGAAAATTACTCAACAGAAGGATTCAACCAATATTCCCTGTAGGACCTGCTGGTATTCACTTGCCATAAAGCAGTATTTTCTCCAGCTGTGGGTTTGTTGAGATTTTTGATCTTCCATCAGCTGCTTAGCAAGAGGCCAAAATGAACAATAAAAGTTTAGAGAAATCCTGACTCTAGGAAAGCTGCTGGTTTTCTAAGGTTAGGGCTCCTATGCTTAAGCGCCGTGGCACATTGCAGTCTGGTGCCAAATTTGACAATGAGCTGAGTACCTTTAACATCTCCTAGTGATTTTCAGTGTTGAGTCCCAGTTGAAGAGAGATTTTGCATTGCAAAATTATTTTTAATCAAAGAGTGGTGTCTTGGATGTTGGTACAGTGAGAAAAAAATTAAATAGATACGGTATCACTGGATATATACAGAGTTCAAACCTCCTAGGTTTTAGCTGTCTGCCACATAGGCAGGTACTCTCACCAGATGTTTCCAGAGGGATGGAAGAGAAGGGGAAGGGGAAGGGGAAGAGAAGAGAAGAGAAGAGAAGAGAAGAATAAATGAACAAGCAAAATTCAGTTTAATGAAATGTAGCAGCTGTCACAAAACAAATCAATGGGATACATACAACTGGCCTTTTAGTAATGCATAATTACTGTAAGGCTTCTAATTAATTTCCTTTTTACAATGCATCTTTTAATATCAATTTGTAAGTGTCTAAGAAGGAAGGTTTACATTTTGATTCTTCTTTGTAATCTCAGGATGGAACCAAGAAACCATGAGCACATGCCTTTATTTGGGGAAAACCTCTGTCTACAATTCATTAACATTTATTTGCATTGGACATACAACCTGTGGTTCTATATAACCACATAATGAAAGGCATCACCATAATGAGATTTGTATTTTGTGCTCAGCAGGGTCTTGCTCTTCTCTCGATGCGCAGGTGCAGTCACTGCTGGGGACATGAAAGGTCCACTGTGTCTAAAATTCTGTGACCCAGGATGGTTGCTCTTTACAGGCTGGTAATTAGAGGGTTTGGCTTTGCATATATAGATACCCTGACATCACAGAGAGCATAAAGCTGTGCTATGTATCTCAGCACAGAAAAATGGAAAGTGTGCCCTCTTGGCTCCCTTCTGCCATGCTCTTTTTCCCTCATTTGATCTTAGCCTACAAACAATCAAGCTGTGCTTTATGGAAGCTTTCTCTTGATCTAATTTGAGTTACTTTTGTTCTTCTCCTGGTGCATCTGTGTGCTTGTGCTGTCTACTCTTTAATTCCAAGCAATCACAGCATTGGTTTAGGCTGTGCGGTGCATGGTGTTGAGGTATGTTTGAGCTCTGAGTCCCACATTTTTATTTTGCAATAAGCTCAGCTGAGTTGCATGTGCAAGATGGATCAGGCAGAGGAAGAAAAGAAGACTACAGGAGATGTAGTTCTTTAGCTTGGGAAGCAAGGACAGGGTCTTCAGTGGAAGTCATGCAGCATTCTGAAACAGATGTTTGGTTCTTTATGGATGGGTTTAATCTCATGTGGTTTTGGGTGAAATGGGGATAATCCTTGGGGTAGTTTCTTCTCCTTTCAGTGGGGAGAGAGAAACTAGAGAGTATCTGGACTCCCTACTTGGCTGCACGTTAAATGGTAGAAGTAGGGGGAGATGGAACTAGGTCAGAGCTTTCCTATCTCCCTCTGAAAGTCCCCACCTTTATCAGGATACCCAGGGATCTCAGGTAAAACCTATCGAGCCATCAGCTCCCAAACACACCTGTCCCATGCCTTCTGCATTTTGAAGGTTCCCTCTCAGGGCTAAACCTCCTCCAGCTGGTCACTGAGAGGTTTTCCTGGAGATTTGGCACAGCTGTTTCTTCTGTGCTGGAGCTAAGTCAGACTACAAAGTCATTGGACCAAGTGCCAAACCCATGTAAATCACAAAGGCTCAGCTTAAATGTAAAGACACAGGCCTATCCTTGTCATGTGTGCCTGCTTTCCCACAACTCCAACTCCCCTGCCCAACTTTTCCCAGTTGGCATCTCTGTCTCACAAGGCACTGTTGCTATAACAGCTGTTTTGTTTCATTTAAACACCTACCTCAGCTCCTGTCCAAAATGCAAACATTTCATTAGCACCTCATCTCCTTGGCTTCAGCCCACAGCACTCGGCCATAATGAAGTGCTGCACTCAGAAATATAATGTGGGGAGCACTTGATTAATGCATTGAGACAGGTGAGGAGAATGACCCTCTGGGAAAAGCTAGGGACTAAATTAATCTCGGATGTAATGCCAACAAAGACGGTCTACCAGCTTTGTTCAGATACGTGGTAAGGATGCGACCCAAAGTCCTTGGAAATCTTCCTGGAGCTTTTCTGTTTGACCCCAGACCCAAAGTGATGTGAAGTGGCTGGTTTCAGGTTAGTCACTTCAAGAGGGTGGATGCTCAGCATTGGGTGGGGAGTGCACATGATGCAGTAAGCACTACATTAGGCTTAATTGATGTTTTCTCTCAAACTTGCATGCACATGTATGTGCACATCTAAAACAAACAAAAAAAAAGTAATGCATTAGATAAAATATTTTTTTCTGGGGTAAAGTCTTTGCAGCAGATGTTTCACTGTAATGCAAATATTTCATATTCTCATGAATAGACATTACCTTTCTGTCCAGAGCCAGGAGCTGGATCTGCTGCAAAGGCATTTTCCACCATTCAGATATTGATAAAAGTATGCAGGATGTTGTTTTAGCAGAGAATTTAAGACACCGGTAGGAGCTGAGCTAAATGGAGGTAAGGCAAATTGTGTGATAACATTGAAAGGGGAGAAAAATCCTCATTTTCTGCTTTCCAGGCATAAAAGGTCTTTACACCATGTTGTGCAGAAGCTGCACCACAAACTAATTAAGCTTTTTGGTCACTGGAAAAGAACACCACCTATATTTTGCCTGTGAAGAGATAAGCTACCAAAGTATACTACAGAATTTTATTAAGAGCTGCAGAGATCATGTTTCCAAATTCTAAACCACAGAAAAACATTAGATTTAAATGCTATGGATTTTTATGTTTCTTCTTGACTACTAATTTTAACCAGCTTGTTGCAAGTGCATAGCAAGTGTGTTAAGATAGTTTTGAGACTATTCAGGAAAATCAGTTTAATAATCAGTTATAAAAAATTTCTTTATGCTTATCAAGTTCCACATAAGACCAGATGAGCAAGGCGTTCTGTTTATGGTATAGGAGAGCTTTGGAATAAGAACAAATGAGTTAATTGACCATGAATAAATGTGACTGTGAAAGTAGGAGCTTTGTGCTGTCAGAGGAGCCCAATTATGGTGCCGTCTCCCAACAAGAAACCTGATGGTGTGAGAAACCTTCCATAGGTAGGTATCTTTGCTGGGATTAAAAGCACCAACAATGGCAGTTCTAGCTGCCTTTTTTCTCCTCGAACCTTCCTGTAATTGAAATGCTTGTTAAGGTCATGTGGATATAGCAATAAATTCTAGTTTGATGTGATCATATCCTCCCATTGCTCATTTGCACCTGACCATGACTGGTGAGTGAGTCAGGATTCCCTGTGCCACGTGTTGCCATTGTAGCACTCCTCCTGGGGGCTCTGCTGGAGTAGGGGCTGTGCCACAGCTTCTTTCCACCCCTGGGTTTAGAAACAGTATCAGGAATAAATGCTGAAGTATTCCCATGACAGTGAGCCCATGGGGCACACTTTAGGCTTGGAAAATGTTGAAGTCCCATGGGACTGTCATCAGCTTGCAGAGCAGAGGTGTGGGTTTGATGCTTCTGTGCTCAGCATATAGAAAATTATTACAAACAGCAATTTCATCTTGAATGGGAGGCTGGTTTCTCCAGTCAGCCTTAGCTGGCAGTGGAGGTGCCTTCTCTCTGGGGTAGGCCTTCCTGGTGACTAGACCCTAACCAGCTGAAGAAAGCATGATCAAAGTAGCTTATTTTTTTATCCTTTTCCTCTGCACAATCAGTTCTATCAACTGGTACAGCTGGTCTCATTAAAAAATGTTCACTGAAAAGTGGTTGAGTCAGCTCTGGTTAGTAACGAAGCGGAGGACTTAGGTTGAGAAAAACCTTCAGTTTGGGTAACTTCTACTGCAGTAATTTTGCAGTCATGAGACCAGTGCAGTTTTGTGTGATCCTGTATGTGCATCCAGATTAACCTGTGGGAAGTTATCCATGGGAGAGCTCTTTGTGTGTGGCAGCCCAGGGCAGAAGGTGCACTGTAGGAGGGACTGAAGCAGTTTCCACAGGGCTGACTCCTTCCTGAATGCAGTGATTTGAAATGTAGTGTCTTATCTAAATCTCTACGGGCACCTGCTGCTGCTGCTCTGGATGAAGTGGTATAACTCAGCTATCTCTGTGTCTTCATGGCTGCCTGCCAGAGGTTATGTGGTGGGAAATATTTTAGGCAGTGTATCCTTTGCAGATACCAAACACCTTCTTTGAGTACCCCAGCCCTACTCTTGAGTTCTGGTGCTGCAGATGGGTTTTTCCTGCATGTTTCCTTAACCGTCATCTTCCTCCTACCCCTCCTTCCCCACCTGCCCTAATTCCTCCTTTTTCCAAGCCCAGAGCTGATGATTATGGAAAAGCACCATTCCCAGCCTACATTTATAATAATATCAGTATTTCCTCCCTGTCCCATCTAATGGTATAGAAGGTTGCCCTAATGGGTGGGGGAAGGAGATGCTGTCATCCCCCTGTAAAGTGATGTGTGTGCAGGATGGGATTAAGCATATGTCAGAGGTCTGGGTGCTTTAGGTTTGCTGGAGCCTTTTCTCACTCCATCCCTCCACCTTGCAGGCCATGGTGGAGACGGTGAACAACCTCCTGCAGCCTCAGGCTCTGAACGCCTGGAGGGACCTGAACGCGAGCGAGCAGCAGCGCGCGGCCACCAAGCTGCTGGACACGGTGGAGGACAGTGCCTTCGTGCTGGCTGACAACCTGCTGAAGACAGACATCGTCCGGGAGAACACTGACAACATACGTAAGGGGCAAATCCCATCAGTACCGAGAGCAACCCGTGGAAGAGTTAAAGGCTGTGAAGCCCAGCTTTGGTCTTGGTCCCTAGATTAATTGGAGAGCAATTTGTTAGATATGTCTTGGGCCTTTGTCTGAAGGCCTTCAAAGTCTTTCCAAAAGAGCCTAAAGGAATAAGGCAGCTCTCTACCCTTGAAATCCCATGGAAAATAAGCGCCTGACCTGCCTTTATTACTCCCGGCTTTGAGGGTATAATCTGTGCTAGAGCAACGAGAGCAGAGCTTCACAGGGGGATTGTTCATCGTAAGGCAATTGTATTTCATTTCATACAAATTTGTGTCTTTATTCAGCTGATTGTTGATTTTAATTAAAAAACAAGCATGATGGAAAGCACCAGCACTCCCACTGTGCATATGTAAAATGAGAACAACTCTTCTTTCTATTTCCATGAATACAGATCCTGAGCACTGATAACATTTACAGAAAGTACCAATCGCCAGTGGCAAAGAACTAGTATTCTCAGATTTTCATTTTAACCGTTGTCCTTAATATCCTGAGGTTCTTGTTTACAAGAACTGGTTGTCTTTTCTCTTCCACAGAGAGTAGAATTTATTTGTGCGCTTTTTTTTTTTAATTAAATTTAAAACTTCTTCAGGGCAAAGATTTAAAAAGAAATAGGAGCCCAAACACATTCTAGCATGCAGCACTGTAAGTTAATTCCTCTCCTCTCAGCTGGTCTGGAACACCATTTTGTAGCTTTGAAATACCGTGCTGAAGATTATTTCAGCGGAGATTTTTTCTTAGTGTCTGTCTCTCTTGCACACAGAGCTGGAAGTTGCGAGACTAAGCACAGATGGGAATCTGGAAGATCTGAAGTTTCCCCAGAACATGGGCCATGGAAGCGCCATTCAGCTGTCAGCAAATACCTTGAAGCAAAATGGTCGAAATGGTAGGTCTGGCACCTCAGGCCATGAGGCAGCTGTGCCTTAGGCATTGTTTTGTGTTTAACCATTATAAGTAAAGTATTAATCACTATGTTAATATTTAAATTAACAGTGGTGTCATTTTCTCATGCTCTTGACTGCAAGCTATGTTGACTGACTGGGAATGTATTATATTGCTAAGTGATTCACAGCCTTCAAAAGTATTTTGTGATGGTAAAAATGCATCAGATCCTTAAATTATGGGGCTTCCGGGGTACAGTGCTGAATCCAGAAAAGTGCTTTTAACTGCTGATTTCTGCAGTAGGAGGCTTCAGATGGGATAAGAGGCTCATTTGAGTAAACTGCTTCACAGCAGGGCACCATACAAATATCTGAAAAAGTACAGGGAAGAAACAATGCTAGCAAATATTAATAATGAGCCAACATGGCAGAAGAGGTTGATTAACTGTTATGAGTCTAAATCTTTAGTGCCTTTCTGTATCTTATGAACCTCCTGATACAGCATAAATTTTAGATGATGTTATATGTTAACAGTCTTCATCCTGCCAAGCCATTTATTTCCAGATCAGGAATTTGAACAGACACATTTGTTGATCTCTACAGCCTCAATGTAGACTAACTTTAAACTCATAGGCTTCTATTGGTGGGCCCAACATGGTCCTGTTTCTGAGTTTCTTTGAAATTTAATCCGTGTGCAGGGGACAACACTCATATACGGGCTTTGGTCACTGCAGGCAAAACACAGAATCATAGAATGGCTTGGGTTGGAACGGACCTTTAAGTTCATCTGCTTCCAACCCCCTTGCCATGAGCAGTGACACTTTCCAATAGATTAAATTGCTCAAGCCCCATCCAACCTGGCCTTGAATGCTTCCAGGGATGGGGCATCACCAGCCTCTCTGGGCAACCTGTGCCAGTGCTTCCCCCTCCTCTCTGTAAAGAAAAAAAATAAAATTGAATGATAGGGCAGCATTACAGCCAGACCAGATGTGTTAAAATTTCTAACAATTTTAGACAAAGTTTGGTCTGGTGGTTCAGAAGGAAAGTCTTGCCATTTTCTTGTTTGCACATAGGGTTTGAGGAGAAGTATCTCTTTTAGAGACCGTTTAAAACTCAAGATGTGTAGCAAAACTCCAACAGGGCAAGCCTTTTACGCTGCTATCTGTTGGCAGCAATGAAAGGAAAGTTTTGTATTTCGAAACACAGTATCACTGGAGTTCTGTTCAAAGCAGAACCCCATCAATTTTCACCAGCTTGACACATGCCCAGAGTCACCAAAGAGCTACAAATGAAATTATCATAAAAGGATTTAGGCTGGGAGGAACATTTGGAGTCAACAGTGCCTCTCAGGTGCTGTGGTGATTCATATAGATATAAAAACATACCTTTCCACATCTAATACATATGAAGGCGAACTAATCACATTCCATTCTTATTTATAGGCTGTGAAATAACGTGCAAAACAGAAGGCAAACTGGATGGTTTCAGTTAAAAACAGTTGGCTGGTAGACTCAGATTTCTGCAGGCTCTATAATGGTGTTTTTCTGATTATCTGATTGGCAAATTAAGAGAATAAATGTCTTTTTAAATGAAATTTGTGAAATTTTGTTTTACCTGTCATGTGAGATTGGAGTTCTGTTGGAAAGGTTTTGATTTCTTCTTCCAGATTTGTCCCCATCCTGAGATAGTCTTAATTTATTACCAGACTAAATTATAGTTTTATACTGCATCTGTGCAACATGTCAGCTTGAAACACATTTCCCAGGTATATCCAGGAGAATAAAATGATGTCAGGTGGGAAATGGACTACCTGGCCTCTTTTTTTCTGAAGCCAGTTACACCTACTGATGCCAAAAATAAGCCCACCTTCCCTGTCTGTCTTCTGCTCATCTGTTTCCTTATAAAAGTTTCTTCTGGAAGAAGGAGCTCTGCCCTTCTTATCCAAGGACTGCTTGTTGCACCTCTTGGTGCTCACTGGAATTGGCAAGAGGTGGGTTTTCATGTGCCACATCCTGGTCCTTTCACATTTTCTCAGAGCAGTTTTGAATTTGGTTAAGAGAAAAGATTTGCAATCTAAAAAAACAGAAAGCCACCCCAGTGACTTAACCTGGTTATCTAACCTGGTACCTCTCTTTTAGGTGAGATCAGGGTGGCTTTTGTGCTGTACAACAACCTGGGCACCTATCTCTCCACGGAGAATGCCAGCATGAAGTTGGGAACAGAAGCGATGTCGACCAATCACTCCGTCATTGTCAACTCCCCTGTCATCACGGCAGCAATAAATAAAGAGTTCAGCAATAAGGTTTACCTGGCTGATCCTGTGGTGTTTACTGTCAAGCACATCAAGGTGTGTGAGTTCAAAAAGCACTTCTCTTTTTTTTTTTTTCAGTTTCTGAAATGAAATGATGCAAAAGTTGGCTTCTGTGAGGCCCCCAGACCTTGATTAGATTTTGAAATATACTTTTGTTCCTTTGCTCTTTGTGTTATTTATGGAGAAGGTGTCTTTTACATTGCATTAATAGAAGTAAAGGAAGTGTCTCCTTTGAGCTGATGCCCATTGCTCGGTTGCTGACACGCATCATTCTGTAATTAAAAACTACCAATAAATTAGAATAGACCATAATGTTATTTTATCATGGTGACAGGGGATGTTAGAGGGAAGTGGAATTACAGTGAAAGAGGACATCTAGTCCTCCTGGTAGCCAAGCTCGGTCGTTGCAAAAGTTGATTGCTTAAAGCAATTAATTTCTCTGCTCTGCAATGCAAATGAATCAGTGTGGTTTTGAAGAGCTGGATTTAGTCAATGTCTGAAATTAATCAAGAACAAAGAACTAAGTTTGCATTAGCAAAGAGTGCTGCAACAATCTAACTTTCTCTGGTATTGGCAAGTAATGCTTGACATATAAACCACTGCTAATTGTTTATCTAAAATTAAAGGGTGAGAGTTACAAAGAGCCTCAGTAGTGCATTTAGAAATCTCTGAGAGCCTATCATTGTTACTGCATTTATTAATTTCTTCTTTGCAGCAGTCAGAAGAAAATTTTAACCCAAACTGTTCATTCTGGAGCTACACGAAGCGTACGATGACAGGGTATTGGTCCACCCAGGGCTGTCGCCTCCTGACAACTAACAAGACACACACCACATGCTCCTGCAACCACCTCACCAACTTCGCAGTCCTGATGGCACATGTGGAAGTTAAGGTAGGCATTGCAGATTCCCAAGCTGCCAATGCACTGAGCCGGAAAAGTGGTCAATATGTGGCACCATTTTGTTGCTACTGTTGGAGCTGAGCTGGGAAGTTGCTGTGTGACAGTAACTCTGAAAGTAGAAACCACCTGGTGTCAGTCTTCCTTCTGCTCTGCGGTGAAACAGGAAATAGTCACGCCAATGCAAAGCCTGTCTTGGGCTCTTAGCATGGGCAGCTCTGAGCTGGGGATGGCGAGTGAGCTGGTTTAGCTGTTGCTGTGTCTTTTGCTAACTAGTACAGAACATCCCCTGGCTGGGTTCTTTCTCTTAGGATCCTCCCTGTGTCACCAGGGAGTAGCTAGGTGGGGGACAGAAGTGCACCCCACGAGACAGACTGCACAAGGTTGGGTGTCCTACTGGCAGCAGCTGCAGACACACTGCAACACGTGTTTCTGTGAGGGGCGTGTGTGGAGCCAACAGTGTTTTCCTCCTTCCAGCTAAGAGGAAAATACATTGTCTGCATCTCACTGTGTGGCAGAGAGATGCAGAGTGTGACACATGAGAAGGAAGCTTCTGATACCATCCTGTATAGACTTGGCATCTACTTGAGGCCAGTGCATGACCAGCTGGTTCCCTTGCCTGCATTTATGTCCATGGTGTAAATCTGGCTTTTCACATGACTAACTCCACTGGAGCTAAAGAAGTTAATCCTGAAGGTAGATGTTCCATGGTAGCAGTGGTTTTGGGAGTGAAGCACACATTTGGGATTTTACTCAAGAACAGGAGAATGGTTGAGATGATCCTCCATTTCCTGAGCTGCCTTGGCTGTCTTTGGTTGAGAACAGTCCAAACTGCTGGAGAAAGAAGAGAAGGCCCTAATGCCCAAAACATTTTGGCCTAGTCATTTTCTTCATTGTGGTGTCTCCATTTCATGTGCCTGGCACAGCAGCAAAATCCACAGCTCTGAGCTAGATATGGAACTGGCATCTTCCATGCAGTCAGAACTTTTCAGATTCACTTCCATGACTACCATAACCACAAAAGCTATTATGGTTTTAAAACTACTTTTTCTCAAGTAGTCTTCCAGTGTCACTGCTTGGTGTATTTCTGTTCCACTTAATAATCTGAAGAGGAATGTGAAGAGCTGCAATAAAATGTATATTAAATAAGCATCATGTATGACAAAAGTTCTGCAAAACAAGAAATGGGAGCCTGGAGGCACATTTCACACAGCAGCTGGGTCCAGCTGAGAGGGGCAGGATATATCTGTTGCTCCTGCAAGTTGTGGTAACCACTTCATTCTGCTGGAGTCAGTCCTAGTTCAGGAAACATGCCAGTAAATGTTTGTGCCATTGTCCTGGGAGATGCCTGAAGAAAAGGCCTATTCAGAGCATATGTTTACAGGTTAATGGCATTCTGCAGTCCAGGTCTGCTTTTGCCAGTTTCCTACAACTGCTTGAATTTTCATGAGAAATGTGTGTTTGGCTCATTATCACCCACCTGGAATTAGCAGATATGCCTGAGTCACTGAAGTCAGAGGTTGCAGCTGGGAAGTGCTGACAGTGATCTGCTCCACTGGTGTGAATGGGGGTGATCGCTACTGCGTGGTGCAGATACAGCCCAGTGCTCAACAAGCCTCTTCTCAGAGTGCAGATAGGTCAGCCTTGTCTGCACTTCCCATCCAAACCTCGTGAGACAAGTAGAGCTGCTGTTGTCTCAGCTTGCAGGAGTAGTATGTAAGACCCTTCCTCGCCCATGTTCATCCAGCAGGTTGGAAAGAGCTGCAGCTGGAAGCTTCCCGAGTGCAAAGCCAGTGTGCTATTAGCTAGTTGCAGTTTCTGGGTGTTAACAACTGCCCTCAAGACTTTCAGGTCATGTTTTATCATTTGGCTGCAGCCAAAGTACCATTGCTGTAAGAGCCAAATTGGCTCCACTTTGTTGACTCTGATACAACCGGACAGCTTCCTGGCATGTCCACTTCAGTGATCATCCTGGCCTGAGGGCAAAGGCAGGGCAGGGTTTCCTCCCACATAACACAGGCACATATTTCAGATATAAATATGCAGACATTTGCAACTTGTCCTGCCAGCTGCTTGTCACCTTGCTCTTGCTGGTGGCACTGTCTCACTCCATGGTGGAGGTGACCATGTGGCTCTTGGCATAGAAGGTGGCTTATGTGACATTTCTTATGCCATTGTAATGAACTGATTTTAAAGTCTTGGTGGCACAATACCTGCTGGGTTGGAAAAGTAGCGATTTAAAAACAAATGGGGGTTGTTGTCATTCACTGACTCATGCTCACTGCTCATAGATATGCTTTTCAGCCATTTTTTTATCTTGTGGCTGGTTCAAAAAGGCATTTCTCAGTCATTCCATGACCTGTTAGTGTTTTTGGAGGTGAAATGATCCTTGGGGAAATGATGTAGTGTGTTTCTGCAAGACATCTTAGACCAGTGTTCTGGCAATGACCAGGATCTCTAAAAAGGACTGTTATACCCACAATAATTAATAATATCCTGGGAGTTTTGCAACAGAAACAATTTTCTCCCATGACTGAGATTTGTAGTTTTCTTACTTCAGTTTGAATTTTTGGATCCATAGGGAACATCCGTTGCTTTAAAGAGTATCCACAGCACCCTGCCTAATGAGACTGAAAACTGGGCATCTTGGGGAGCAGACATCATAGTCCTGCTAATCAAAAACCAGGACCAATTTGACCAGAGTCACATCTGCTCATGAATGATCTCCCTGCCTGGTAACATGGCACAAGAGCCTGTTCTCCAGAGGGGGTCTCGGTGGCCGCTCTGTGAGTTCTGGACTGCGGTTTAATTATTAGCAGAGTGTGTGTGGCAGGGTGGAGCTGGAAGGTAGCGTTGCTGAGGAGAGGTGATTGATGGCCATCTGGCTCTTCAGAGTGAGAAACCAATATGTCTTTGTACAGAGGGACAGAAAATAGCACCAGCTGACCACGGCAGCAGGGATTTATTGGTGTGCTTGAAGAGTAGAAGTTGCTGGAATCAATTCTGGTTTGACTAGGACAGTACCCGATTAAGAGGAGAATTTAATTTGAAGATGCTTTCTGCCTGTTAAAATAAGTTGGGCTCAGAGTTTCTTATTCACCCACTGGGCTAAAATAACAGTGTCCAAGACCAAGAGCTGGCTGTGTACACAAGCAGGATGCATAACTGCTGGGAACAGCAGTGGACCCTCACCTGTAGGTCCCCCTCCAGCCACTGGAAAAAAAAAAGGGGTGGCTCCCATGCTGTGGAACACATCCCATTGTTAAATAAGCCATCCTACCTATGTAATTGCTGTAGAATTATTCAAAATTTACAAGTTGTTTTTTATAAGCTTGTGCTTTGCATCATACTAATTATAGCAGATACATCTTAAATGTATCATGGGAAAATTATGCAGCCAGAAAGCAAGTTCAGAGCTGGTGGGAAAATGCAATTAAAAAAAACACCCAAACCAGAATAAGCAAAGGTACCCCCAGGGAAGGTAAATGTTGCTTATCAGTATGTAGTGAGTGCCAGATCTTACTCTTCTTTTTTAAATACAAATAGGAGGAAAAAAAGAAAGGTGTTTTACTGTTGCAATTAATAGGAAAGTTTCAGGTGTTTTTCTTTACCACAAACAGATTACACTGTGCTAATTATTTGGGGAGTGGAAGCATAAGGCAAGCTGAGGAGAGAAAGGAATAAAAATGTATGAAGTCTAAGTGGAATGTAGCGGTCCATTGCCTAAAGCAGTAGAGGAGCAGGCTGGAGTTATTGCAGGCTGAGCCTGTGTTCTAAACTTCACGTAGCTCACACTGGCAAGTGCTAAGCCTTGCTCGGTCTTGCTGCACCCTTCCTTTCTGGCTGAGAGCAGGGTGAATGTGAGGAACAAAGCAAAGGTAGTGGCCGTGCCGTGGTGGAACCATGTCCCAGCTGTCTCTTGGCACTGGGCTGAGTAGGACCATTGCTGTGACAGCAGAAGCTGATGATGCTGCAACCAGGCTTTTTCCAGAAACTCACATTTCTGGTAGCTTGGCTGGGTGGATGTCTACACCATGTTTGGCACAACTTCTGTATCTCATTTCTTGGGTTGGAGATGCCATATGAGTAATCAGAGCTGCCGAAATCCAGCCATGGAGAGCAGCATGATGGTTGCAATTATTATTCCTAAGCTTCACTTTCTCTCCATGACTGAATCTGACCTTAGCTGCCTCTCAGTTGCAGTGGGGTTGGTGAGTACAATGAAAATAGTGGGCTCTTGCCATGTGTTGTATCTGCAGTAGAGTCTGTGACACATGGTGAGGTGAGGTGAGGTCTGTACCCATTTCTCTATGCACACCTGTCCCCATACAGCTTTGTCCTGGCCACGGGGGTTTCTAGGACTTAGAATGGCTGCTGCTTCTGGCAGTCGCTGGAAGGCTGTTCCATTTCTGGGGAGAAGTTTGTAAAAGAGTTCTGCTAGGAGGGCTTCATCTTGCTGAGGAAGGCAGAAGAGGAGGAAGCTCATTTGTGTTGCCCATGCAGAATATGCAAAGGCAGCTTTGTGGACTAAGGCAAGGAGAGAAAAGATGACTAACCCACCTTGTAGGAATGCTCAGGGATCTGAGCCTTGTTGTGAATGGCCAAAGTCAGAAGACACTAATGTTGCACAGGGGCTTCAGGTGGGAATTTTTGCCCTCTTTATTCCTGGGTTAGGACCTGATGGTGCCAATGATCACATCACCTTTGCAGAGCCCAGAGGAAATGTGTACCAAGTCAATGGGTGCTGTACTGATTGTGGAGCACAGCTGCCTATCTCCCTGGGTGCATCCTTGGAGAAGATGGAGAGGATGGGTGCTAAAGCAAAGGGATCACTCCAGCTCATATTCCTCTTGGCCACAGAAGGGGAAAATCTCCCTCAAAGCCTCTCATGCTTTCATAGCCACAGGAGGTGATGCCTTTAGCCAGCTCGGATGCACTTCAGGAATCCTTGGGGTTTCCTCCCCGTCCATGTACCCCAGCTGGTGCTTTTGACACATCTACAAAACCATCTGCCTCTTCAGTAACCCTTTGCTCATAGCCAACAAAGCATTACAGCCAGGTCATAGCAGTAAATCCTCTCACCACCAGAGATGGGGGGAAAAGGGCAGAGAGACTCCGCATGGCTCCAAAGACCTACAAATCCAAGAAGCAGCATCAGCAATGCACAGAAGTTCAAACCTGTCCCACTTGGGTTTCTGCCCAGCCAAGCACTCTGCCAGCTCCCACCAGGCACAGGGCAGTCATATTTGAGCTAGTTTGATGACATTGTGTTTTTATTTACTGCTTGCTTATTCTTCCACCCCCAAAGATATTACTTCTTCCATTCCTGGAAGGACAGATTAGGCAAAGGAATGTGTCCTTTGCTGCTGGCAGCTTGGTTTGGCTGCTGTTTTCTTCTGCTGATGTTTTTAATAAGGGAGGAAATGGCTGTTCATCTCAGGGAGAGCCATTCTGTCGTAAGCTGACATTCCCTGGGATTTGTTTTTATTAGCTCAGCTGTGGTGTACAGGCACTGCCAGAGCTGCTCATTGATTTTTCCCAGCCTGGATAATATTGGGGCTGCCTGCTCACCCTGCTGTGGTTGCTACTAGTGTTCCTGTAACTCCTCCTGCACAAATCCCTGTCAGCACTCTCCTCCTACTGCTCTTGTCCCCACTGGAAAAAAAACAGGTCTTTATCCCAAAGCCAGAGACATCTCTTTTCACTGGGCTTTACTAAATCATAAATGTAAAACATACTTACTGTAGAAACCCTGTCACTGAAGTGTATTGTTTTTTGTAAGGAACAACTTAGTAAGTTGTTCCTGTGCTAAAAATAATTTGTGTGTCAGCTTATTCTGTGAAGCAACCGTAGCTCAGTCGTAACAAACCTCAGTGTCTTGCATGCTGTGCCATGTAGCACTAGTCTGGAGAGCCATGGTGCATTTGGGCAAGGAGTTGTTTGGTTGGTGCTGTCAGGAATTGTCTCTTGGACTGATACCTGATGTTTGTCATCGGCTCCTCTGGTTGCCCAAGTATTTGGGAAGATCATTGAAAAACAAGAGGTGACTGTTGTCAATACACTGGTGGTCTCAGATGTATGTTGCACGCTTTAGAGACCCTAGGGCTTTCATTGCGCTGGAAAATCCCTAGGGATTTTCTTGGAATGGCAGATCCCAGAGGGTTGTGATCAGTGGCACAGAATCCAGTTGGATCTGAGCAAGGAGGCTGGACTGGATGACCCCACTGGTGGTCCCTTCCCACATTCACCATGCTGTGATTCAGCAGTTAGCATGCGCATCTGAGCTGTTTTATCCTCAGTCAAGGAGTTTTGAACAGGTAGAGAGAAAATTTGCTCTTCTTGTATTTTTCTGTGGTTAAGAGATCAGGCTTGAAGGCTGAGACCTACATACAAAATCCCGGTGTGCCTTGTATCATGTTTAACCCTGGAACTCCATATACCAGCTGTGTAAGCCAGGTTATGCTGCTCCTTGTTTGTCACACAGCAATCAGGTGATGGCAAGGAAACCTCATGGCACTGGGAGAGGTTACCACTGCTGTTCCTTTTCCCATATTATTCTGATTGTTGTAATAGTGCAGTAATTTACAGCTTTCAGTCTCCAGCAAAGGCAAGTTGCCTTTTGTTGTACTTGCTGGTGTACAAGCTCTAGATGTGCCTGCCCTGAGGGAGCAGTTGGCACTGCCATGGGAAGGATGCCAGTGCTTATCAAGTATTCCCTGATCCATTTGTTCTGCAGTAGCACCTGAAATTGGGCATCCCAAACAGGCTGGAGTGTACCCAGCCTTTAAGATTCAGCTCACTTCTTCTCTTGGACTTTACCAGAAAAGCTACAAATTCATATTTTTTTTCCCCCGAGGTGTTTTTAAATTGCTCTTGTTCCCAGTTCATTGTTATTGTTCCTTTCTGTTTGTTCTTCTGTGAGTTTGTTGAGTTTGGGAAGGGAGTTTGTAATTATGGAGAAGTTGTTTTTATGGCTGTTTCCCAACACTCCAGGGATGAGTGTTACATACATAAAATCAGTATTATCTTTACGATTAATATTAAAAAGAAAACCAGTAAGAGTGATAATAGTAATAATAATGATACAGCAGTGAAGCATATTTACTGCTAAGCATGGTGAGCTTCTTGGGCAAGCAGCCCTTCCCTGAAGAAGGCAAAGAACCTAGATGGTAGGATCCCTCTCCAAGAGCAAAACCACCTGTAATTCCTGCATCATGTCTTAAATTCAGCAGAGTTGTGGTACTGTGATTAGAGGTGCAGGAGCTGGGACCCGTGAGAGAAGAAGCCCTTTGAGAATTCTCCCTGCACCATGCTAAATTTGTCTTGGGATGGATGAATCTGGCCACATCTGGGTGGGGTGTGTGCATCTGGCCAAAGTCTGCCTGGTTTCTTTTTTCCTGCATCCACTGCATTAGCTGTTGCCCAGCCCAAGAGCTCTTGGTGCTTTCAGCCTGGCAGGCCAATCTAATCAGATGAGGGCTTGTTCAGGGAGATGCTCTCCTGCCATTCCCCTGCAGCCTCAGAGAAAAGAAAGAATGATTTGCAAGGTGCAAGGTTTGCATTAACATTTTTCCGCAGAGTTAAGAGGGATGGATGATCTGGAATGACACTGAGATAAAGCAATGCGCAGCTGCCAGGGAAATGATCTGCTTCATCTTGTCAGGTTTCTGGGCGCCTGCTGGATGAGCTGGCTGGAATAGGCATTTCTGTCATGAGCCACAGAAAGCACACAATGATTTCTTGTCTCCCCATTGGACTTGTGACCTCTAGTTCCTTAGGTATTGGAAATAGTTGGAAAGAGATGCAAGGGAGTTTGGGCAATGGAGCCCTCCATCTCTCCACCTCCAGGTCCTCCTGGAGACAAAACTTCCAGCATGGAAGGAATGGAGCAGAGAATCACTCCCCATCTTTCATTATGAGGCCTATCACTCATGCTGGTAAAGCCAAAGAGCTGAAAGGTTTGAGGTGTTTCTTGCGGGTGCCAACACAGCAGAGTGTATACCGGGAAAGGCTTGACATTTGATGCAACTTTATCATTGGCAAGGAGGCAAAGAAAATGGATAAATGAATGACCTTTTCCCTCCATCTGTCATACGGTTTTATCCCATGGAGAGAAAAATGTTTCCACTTTGCACTGGCTTTTTGAAGTGGACACTTTTGTATTTGCCAGTCTTCGTAATGCCCGAGTCATCGAAATGCCAGAAATGGTGGAGAATGTAATTACCATTTATAACACAACATGGTGGACCACAGAGCTGGGCTTCGAGCTGCTCTGGTCTTTGTGAAATGTTCCCAGAGATTTTCAGCCAGTCTTTTCCCCAGCTCATTGACTCACATCCAAGCAGTCATCTCGTGGCTCACCATGTATTTCTTGTGTTTTATTTACATTTTGTTAAGTAATGATAGCTATAATTTCACCACATCTGGGGGAAGCTTGGGGAATTACAGACGAGTTTTACAGCCTGAATAGGGAAAGCAGTGGGATTCTCTCACCAGGAGGGTCTCATCATGTGCCTCCTCTTTCCAGGAGGGACATGCAGTGTAAGCTCAGGAGCAATGCAGCAGTGTTTTGTCAGCAGAGCCAAGGCTCACCTATCCTGACTCTCAGACAACTTTGTTGCCTAGTTTTGCACTGGCTTTGTTTGCATGGCTTTGAAGTACATCCGTGCTAAAAGTTCATCACAGGGAATCAGTCACTTTGCAGGCTGTCTTAAAATCACTGTTCTGTTACAGTTTAAAAGCAAATTTGTGTTAAAAGGTCTGTCTTTTTTCTGGGTAATGTTCTCAGGATCAATCTGACTTCCCAGGAGTTCTAAAATATAACTCCAGGGCTTGAAAAAGAAAAATCAAACTTCCTTCCCCTGTGGAAAAAGAAAAAAAAAATTAAGCAATATCTTTCTTTCCAAAGCCTCCAAGCTCATACATCTCTGAACATTTAAAGAGAGTCTTTTTTCACTGTTGGCAAATGGTTGTAATGGACTTGCAGTTGTTGGACATGATGTTGTTAGCATGAAATGCCTTTTTACACTTGAATCACTCTGTTCAATGGTTCTGTATACTGTGTGTCCAGGCACTCCTTCGCCATGCTTGTGCAAGATGGAGCTGCACGCAAGACTAGCCCTGATATCTCAGTATTTTCATCAACAGCATTATGCTGCTGCAGGGTTTTGGGGTCTGAGTTTGTTCAGGGCACCTGTAGCTTGCAAGATGCTTTGGAGTCTGTTTCAGGTTGCAGCTTTCTTGCTGCAGGGTTCAAGTTTAGGTGCATTTAATCTTTTTGCTACTGGTGCCTTGTGCCACAGGCAACCTTACTCTGTGTCTGGGATGCATTAGAAGTCAAACGTCATGCACCTGATGAGATCTTTTTGTTTTACCCTCAGCACAGCGATGCGGTCCACGACCTGCTCCTGGACTTCATCACATGGGTTGGCATCCTGCTTTCACTGGTCTGCCTCCTGATCTGCATCTTCACCTTCTGCTTCTTCCGTGGGTTGCAGAGTGACCGCAACACCATTCACAAGAACTTGTGCATCAGCCTCTTCGTGGCAGAGCTCCTCTTCCTTATCGGCATCAACCGGACCGACCAGCCGGTAAGAGACAAAGCACTTTCTGCTTCTGTCACGGGCTCTTGTCCCAGTGCGTCTGCTGTGTTTGAGCAGTGAGAAACATTCCAGCACTGTCTCCATGTCTCATTCCATGCATGAGTCCTCACAGGGCTGGGCCCCTGGCTGATAACTGGGACTCACATGCTGATGCCTGCTGTAACTTTAGGGACTGTATGTGTGTTGCTTGTAAATGTGTGTATATGTTTAATAAGCAGGTTGTAGAAATGAGCTTATACCATGTACATCTTCATGTGTTTATTTGCATGATTGTGTGCATGCCTTTGTATTTTCTAGTATCACTTATATATGCTTATACTATTTTAAAACCATTCACACATGTTTACCAAGTGAAAGAAGTTCTTCCTTTGGAGAGGGAAGATAAGAACACCTTCACTTTTATTAAGCCTCCAAGTAAGAGTACTCCTGACTGTTGCATTAATTAATCATGGTACAAACACTTTCCCTTGCTCTTTTCAATCCTCACGCAGATTGCCTGTGCCGTCTTTGCTGCCCTCCTGCACTTCTTCTTCCTGGCAGCTTTCACCTGGATGTTCCTGGAGGGGGTGCAGCTGTACATCATGCTGGTGGAGGTTTTTGAGAGCGAGCACTCCCGGAGGAAGTATTTCTATTTGGTGGGGTACGGCATGCCTGCGCTGATTGTGGCCGTGTCGGCGGCAGTGGACTACCGGAGCTACGGCACGGACAAAGTGTGAGTGACCTTGGCATTGCTTGGACCTGTTCAGGAGTGGGGGCAACAAATGGGCATGAGGAGCCCAGAGGAATTGTTCAGGCAGAGCTCAGCCAGGAGGCATGCCTTGCCTTATCTCTGTGTTTCTTGCAGGACAAATTCCCCACTATGAAATGATTTACCAACGTATTTTCTAGGGAAGTCATTTGAGGAAAATTTTGTCACATCATTGCATAACATCAGCAGAGGTGACTGTCCCTAGTCTCAGTTTGGTACTATATCAGTAAGATCCTCCTTCTCTAACCAGAGAGTATTTCTTATTTGGATGAAGATACTGCTTTCTTCCTCTTTTTTTAAAACTGTTTTGTCAAATTAACAGAGCCTGCAGGCAAAATAGGTGGTGACTGTGGAGTGCATTAGGGTCTTTGCAAATCAGAACAGTTATATCATTTATCATTATGAATATTCTTAAGTGTTTTCAACATTGTTGAAGCTGGTATGAAAGCACAAGTTAGATTATCATGCAACACCATCAAATGGAAAACAAAGGAAAAATTGAGCCTTCGATTCTCTTTGCCATCTTTGCTACAATAGGATTAACAATGTGATTTTATTGACCTTTTTCCTTCTTCCCTTATCCTAGTCTGCTTTCCAATCTCACTTTAACTGAGTTAAGGGCTCAGTATGAAGACATATATAGTAAAAAGCTATTGGTCGTTCTGAAGCTCTTTTTTGGCATAGATCAGGTCAGGCCATGGCAGCATTTGATTTTCTGTTAGGTTCAACTGCAGACTTTTTGTCTGAAACCTTATTATATATATGAACCTTTATTTTTTAAAAAAGCAGATCTGTAGAGCAGTGGAACTGCTCATGATCCATTACCATGCCAGCAGGCAGGCTTGGATCCCAGATGGATATTTGTGTTGTGTTCCTCCCATGAGTAGGAGAGCAGCGACCTGAATTTGTGTAAATGTCACACTTTATGGAAAGGAAAGGAAATGGCCCACACAGATAAGGGTAGGAGGGTGTAAGTTTTTAAGGATCTCTACCAATTTATCCAAAGTAGTTTGACTGACTTTTACAGGCCTAGAGGGTAAAGAATAGGTAACACAACAGCTGATTGCCATTTTTGAGGAAGATTTTCCATCAGTTGCCACCTGCTTCCTGCCCCAACAAGCTCTTCTATTCACTCCCCCTCTTGAGCATTATATAAGCACCTATTAAATCAGGTGTGGAAACAGTTTGCCTTGGCCCTTTAGACAAATTTATTCTTAAATGTGGTGTTCCTGTGGAGGACATAGCTCTTCACAGTGGTCTACATTGGGCATGTTGACCCTCAAACATATTCCAGCAGTCTGCAAAGGACAGCACATCTGCCATTTCTGGAGCACTGTCCTAACCTGTCCAGTTTACAGTGTAGTATTTTGTGGCTCCTTTCCACACTATTCACCCTTTGGCTTTTGCAAATAGACCTTGGTTGCCAAAATGTTTCCATGGCATAGAAGGTACAGGCAGAAAGTTTGGCTCAAATTCACTGAAGGCGAGCACTTCGCTATCTTGGCATTGAAGAGGCAGCAGTCCTGTGTGTGTGCCAATAAAATATGTCTCCCTCACCACAGCACGAAGTGGTATTTTAAATGATTAAACATGTATATATAATATTTTGCAAATAAATATTTACAGAGATTTGCAAATCTAAAATATTTATTTATAATTTTTAATTCCAGAATGTACAATTTTATCACGTTCTCACAGAGGAAAATAAAAACCATACAATATGTTTTGTACAACTATCATGCTCCATCTGGTTGATGGATATGATGTATTTTTCAGTATAATGTTATTAGAAGGGTAGAACTGATTAGAATTTGTAGTGAACTATATGCCAGGCATACATAATTTGATTGCAAGAAGTTGCTTGGTTTTGCCAGGTTTTGTAAAACATCCTCTGGAATATATTACTTGCCTCCCTCCGTTATTTACTGCATTTGTTTAAGCAGGACTTATGGAGCTGTTAGTGATATTTGTTTTTTGCCTGGCATTTGGTGCCACCATTCATACATCTCAGAATGATTTGCTTAAACACGCAGTGTAGGGTTTTCTTGATTTCATTTTCCTTTAGAAATCCAACCCTCCTGTAACACATGCCCAGATTACATAGCCAGGAACAGGCATTTGTTCCTCCCTCTGTTGCTTTACTCATCACTCGGTGCTTGTGATTTCCTGAAGTGTCCCGTGTCCTATTATTCACATTGGCATTTTGGAGTAGCTGTTCCATAAAGATACTCTTATATACTTAATTAATTCAAGGATAGAAATTGATCCTTTTCCTACTCTGTTTTTTTCTTGGTTTTAGAACAGTTCAAACCCCTTGTATTAGGAGATTAATTCGCTTTTGTGACTAAGCAGCAGCATAGTGATTCCCTTAAAAGATCATCCTGTTCAGGCTAGCTTAACTGTGTTTGGTCCTTTGCCCCCAGATAAATCAGAAATGTTGCATCTCACCTCATTCTGATTCTGACCTCTCAAGTGAAGGTGAAAAGCAGGAAACCCCACTGCAGACAGTGTGGTTCCTCCACATTGCCAAAGAGATTCTGGCAGTGCTCTCATGAACTTCCAAGTTACCATTTCTTACAGGCCATATCTTCAGCTGCTGGGTCTTAAATGACCACAGCTCAAGTTTGGCTGCAAAAAAGAAGATACTGGGATTGTACTTAAAAAAAAAAAAAAATAAAAGATAGATCATTTGCCTTATCCCATGTCCCAGCTTGCCTTAACCAAGTCCCTCCATCTACTCGATGGATATGATGTCAAGGGTCATGGTCGGCAATGCTGCAAAATGCAGAGAAAATAGTATAGAAAGTAGTATTTGCATTTGTAGTTGGTGTTTGAAAGTGACTTGCATCTAAAATTCAGTAAAAGTTCAATTATGGCTTTAGCAGCCTTTGAGAAGACTCATGCTAGAAGCAGGCCATCCCACATCAGCAGCAAGAAGCTATTCCATATTTCCATACTTCCCTGGGTTTCATATCAAAGCCTCTCACAAACTGCAGAGGAAAGCAGCTACACTTTGAGTGGTTCAATATATTTTAGAAACTTGTAGGCATATTCATTCACTGGTGATCAAATCCATCATGGCAGGGATCTCTCTTTTGTTTCTCCCCCCTTCCTTCCCCCCCTTTTGGAATGCTGTAAAGCAGGATATACATGGTAAGCAATCCAGCTGTCAGAAAGCAAAATGAAAGCCCTGTGTATGTACACAGCCTCCGAGTCCATCAGCCAGGCGCCGACATTTCATGCATGTAAATGCTGCTCAGAAAATAGCATCTAACAATGTGGTCTGTCTTGGGTGGCTCCACTGAACTTGTTTTATTTGCAGTGCTGCTGCCAGTATTTGGAGGAGGAAGCGTGAGCTATGTGGATGCTGAACTCCATTAAGCAGAACCTATATTGCACCCTTGAAAGGCATGTCTGGTGCATACATATCCCGTTACTGCACCCTGACAGGGAGGCTGTACAGCCACATGAAACAAACCACTGAGCTCCCATGAACAACATGATATGTTTAGGACTCTTCAAATTTTATGGTCCAATGGCAGCTAATGATTGTTTATTGGTTATATTTAATGCACACCAGGGATAGTTTAGTATTTGATTTCTCTTCATGCAGAAAATAGAGTAAACTCTTTGTAGTCTTTATTACTTGGGCAAAGCTTTAGGTGAATATTGTGAGTCGCCACTGTAGAAAAGGAGGAAATTAAAAAGTAAAGGAGAGCAGTGTCACAGAGCTTGTCACAAGAACTGAATGCACTGGGGTGACTCCTAGAAGGAGCAATGGGGTTTTGAGCAGTATTCCCTACATACACACATTTCCTGATAATCCTTTGCCTTGCACTGAGCCCTGAAGGAGCTTGTTTGCGTAATAGCAGCACAGCCTAAACTCGTAACGTGGCAAGTCCGTGCTCACAGCGCAGCTGCGTGTGGATGGTCACAAGTAACTCAGCAGCCCAAGATTAGCAACTCTGGGAAGTGAGTTGCCTGATTGCTTCCTTGTTTGGAGGAGCTCATTTATGCAGCTCATTGTGCGTGTGGGTTTTTGTCTTCTAAGGCAAGAAAAGCTCAGTGTGGTACTTGTCTGATTAGCAATTTACAGCTCCACAACACAATTGGCGGGATGCCTGTGTTTTGATGTTTTGGTCTTAATTTGCATTTTTAATGAGGTATGACTTAAACAGGTCCAGAGTTTCATCTCTTCCTGATGACCACCAAAAACTCCATCTTTTTTTTTAAGTCCCGCAAGACTGAGTATGATACATGGTTTCATAGAAAGGCAAACTTTCTATTCAAACAAATTAAAAATGACATTACATTCTTTGAAGTGTGCAGAGAGGCCTAAAAAAAGCCTTCTCTGTTTTTCACAAGCTGTGCTCTGGCCTAGGTGAAGCCATCTCTGCTAGGGCTCCTTTTGCTCTGTGCCTGGCTCCCACTTATCCTGATGGCAGGATCTGGTTCCTCTGCTGTTTCTCATCCACAGCATCCTCAGTTGTTTTCTACAAATGAAGAGACAGATATCTTAGGGAAGTGGGATGGAAAATTTCATTCTTTTTGCTGTCTGGAAAAGGTACCAGTTGCTTTGCTCTTCTTTGCTGAGCCTGGCAGCTTTTTGCTCATTCTGTATTTCAGCTTTCCCTGGTTTTCCCCATATCCCAATATATATGCATTCAAAACCAGCTGCACCAGATGTGACTGAAGGGTGATCACTGTGCTTCAAGAAGTAAAAAGAGGGTTTATGTTTTTCCTCTTCCCTAGACTTTCCAAGATCCAGGTCACTCTTTATGCTGAAGGAAAACCAAGTTGATGGTGACTAAAATACAGTGTTCCCAACTTCTGGGCAGCAGGGGCTGGAGGTTGTTTTGAATGTTAAACTGTCAAAAAAAAGTTCAAAATATTTTCATTAAAAAAAAAATAAATAAAACCCCCACAACCCTCTGAGTCCTCTCCCACACACCAGCACTCATTATCAGTAGAAAAAAAGTGATGGGGCTGCGTATTTTGTTATTTATATGCAGCAGCTGAGGCATAAGCACCAGTTACTCATTTTTCCTGAGGGGGATGGGGTAGGTATAAAGTCTGAAACACCGTGTAAATATGTGAGCTGCTGCTATGCAGACATCCTTGTTTAGGAACGGGGGGGCACTTTTTACAGGGACTTCATTATCCTTGAAACCTCTATTCCTTTGTCAAATCTAGTTGCAATTGGGTGACATTTCAGATGTTATTATGGGTGATACACAGATGTCATGATCGCATAAACCTTTTCCTATAGGGAATCAGACTCAAGTAGTCTCGAGTCACTCATGCTGTTCCATTACCAGCTGCATCTAAATCACCTTGAACTTCAGCAGCCACGGAAGAAACAAGATTTCCCAGAAATTGCTTTGAAAGCCTCTGTTTGCCTCTTGCATTAAGGTTTTGCTGCTATCACGTGAAGATTCTGGATGAGCAACTGCAGAGGCAGTTCAGGAATGACAGTTACGGAAGTGACAGTATTTTGATTTGTGACAAATAGCCTTATGAGTGTGTGTATATATATCAATGCATCTCCGACGCTGATGAGACCTGAAATTTATATGGTCAGGAAGGGAAGTGAGAAGTTTTCTCTGCATATTTGAATTTATTAATATTTTGGCTTCTCCTAGTCACAGAGGTTCAGGGTATGCTTTATTCTCTTGTCAGGCATCTCCTGCTGATCCTCTCCCATGGGGCTGCTGGCACAGACCTTTCTGCCTGTTGCAAAGTCCATTGGAAGGGAAAAAGCATTAGGCTCATACACCAGAGCTGTCATTTGTGAGAGCTGCTATCTCCACCACCATGATAAATTCATATATACAGTTCCTGTCACTTGCCTAATCATGAAATTCTGTCGGATGTTTAGTATAAGAGTGGTTTTATGCTTTCTCAGTCCTTTGTGTATAAACGGAACTCTGATTTGCAGCATTGCAAAGACGACAAGATATTATTATTTTAAACATCATGTGAAACTTTCTTGGAATTTACATTTGTCTGTCTTGTAACGAGTCACTTCCATTTTATCTTCCTGTCGCCTGGAATGAACTAGGAATGGAAATGTAATTTCCCAGGGGCTTTAAAAAATGTGGGGAGTATTAAATGCGGTTGAAATTAAGTGATTAATAATTTAGTTTTAGGCCATGAATCAACTTCTTGTGATAGCACAGACCATATGCAACCCTGGAAACATTAGTGAAAACAAAATACTCAGGAGGTTCAGGGAAATAAAACACTTTAAAGGGGAAGTTGCTGAACCTAATTAAACCTCAGCCTTCTGTTATCCAATTCATGCTTCCTATTTGCACCAAAGTTTCTCTCATCTACTTGCTAGAGAAATGTCATCTCGCTTGACAGCTGACAGACAGCTTGCATTGCATCAGAGCTGGAGAGCAAAGAGGAGCACAAAGCAAAGAAGCTCTGTGGATGTTCATCAGACCCCTTCCTTAAAAAAACCCATGGTTTAAGGAGTTTTTCCAACAGATGCAGAAAGCCTTAGCAAATAGGCCTTGTGCCATTTTCTCCCTGCTTCCTCTAGAGGTAATTATCTTACTCCATCAATAGCGCTGTCAGAAATTGGGCACATAATTCAGCATTTAAATGAACAAGCAATGTAATATTTCCTGTCTCCCACCGGCGTGTTTTGCAGCTCACATTCTTCTCTGTCACTCGCTCACTCTTGATGTATGTCCTGAGTGCAGTCCTTGAATGCCTTCTTTCCCCTGTGTTTCATTACAGATGTTGGCTCCGACTTGACACCTACTTCATTTGGAGCTTTATAGGACCAGCGACCTTGATAATTATGGTAAGAACTCCTAATTAACTACTCCATCTCTCAGGTCAAGAAATAAAACTTTTGCTGTCCCTTTTCTCTTTATCTTTAATTTACACAGATTAATTTGAGGCAGGCATGTTCTTCTTTGACCCTACCTGGCATAGCAATTAGACTCTCATTATGAGAGGCTCTTGGCATTGCAAAATACTTGATCAAAACGGGCCAGGGAGCTTCAGAGTGGGCACTTGCAAAGTTTGGTTTCTACCACTGGACATTTAGAAGTGCCAGACTGTTTTGATGCCACTCACTGCTCACACCATTTTTGAATTCCAGAGTGAAGTTTCCATTGATAATGCAAAAACAAAAAAAAAAAAAAAAAAAAAAAAAAAAAAAAAAAAAGAAAATCTGGAAGCGGGGGAGGTGGGATGAAGAAAAGTCCAAAACTGGAAAAGAAGTCTGATGAGGGTTTTTCCTAACCAGCAGAAGTTGAAACTTGTGTGACTTCATGTTTAGCACATTGCCAGCATATCAGCTAACACAGCGACAAGGTAGAGAACCCAACTTTAGAGACAGCTGGAGTTTTCTTATACTTTAATCGCTACAATATGGCTTAAATAAACCATTCTTTGTTTTGACTAGGCTACAGTTTGGCTAACACAGAAAACCAGGCACTCTCACTTCAATGCAGACATTGTCTTTGCTTCTTCTGCTTCTCCTGCAACTTGGGAGCCATTTCAGCAGCCTTCCACATCAGGAAAGGGGCCATGCCACCCACTACAATTCCTGGGGTTTTTTTTCCCTTAAGCAATTCATTCATAAAAAGATATCTTCCCTTTTTGATTATGTCTCAAATCCTAGACTGGGCTTTTTGGGAAACTCCTTTCCAGGAACTGGCCGCCTTGTGAACACTGAGGCATGGAAACACCATCCCATCTTTTACAGAACAAATCAAACCCTTTTTTATTTTTGTTTATTCAACTTTGCACTGTGCTAAGCATCAGTTGTGATTTCCCTGCCAACCTGTCCTGTTACAATGTGTTTAAAAGATGTATTCACAGAAAAAAGATGCTTTTATGCTTCATTACAATGGGGCTGGCTAAGTAATGTGCTGGGAGTGACTTTTCATGAATGTACATGTCTCAGACATAGAGAAGCCCTTACAGCAAGTATTTTTAATTTTCTATAATGCTCTTTGAAGCACTTGAGGTTAGAACCAGCCTTGTATCAGCAGTGCCACAGCTGTGGTAAGGCTATGGCATCTACAGTCCTGTAATCTGCAGGCCGGGTCACCTTATAAAATACTTAGAAATTCTCTGTGATTCAGTCACTATAAACCGGTACCATGAGCTAATTTCCTACAGTAACCTATTTGTTACAGAGAAGGAGCTGACTTTATCTCCATCATGTTGTGCTGTGTCACATAATCCTTTTTTTTTCCTTCTGCCTCCGTTACAGCTTAATGTCATCTTCCTTGGGATTGCTCTCTATAAAATGTTTCATCATACTGCTATACTGAAACCTGAATCTGGATGTCTTGACAATATCAAGTAAGTGGTTTTTCTCTGCCTGTTTTTGTCTTTTGCTGTTTATTCCCTCTTTCCTCTGAGGTGTGAAACAAGGGAACCAGCTCTGCCAGCAGCAGAGCTGACCAGGGGTAATACTTTGGGCTATGGCACTGCAGAGTGGTTTTTAAAAGATATCAAGTGGCTGATAATAAAGCACTATACTGGGATTTGGCTGCAGTTGTTGGCATTTTCTGTTCAATTTTGCATGAAGAAGGCAAAGCTACATTTTCTGTCCGTGAAGCAGGTAACCTTCTCGTCTACGTAAAGGAAATTTTGCCCAATAATTACCAGATAATTATTGCAGTCTCTACAGGGAAGGTGTTGAAACTGTTGATTATTACTCCTTCTGTGCTCTCTGAGGGCTTCTGCCTTACTTGCTTTCTGTTTGTTTTGGCCCCTGACAGATTCCATGACCCAAATTCTCCCCTGGAGTCTGATACTGCTTTCAGCAAAGTTATTGAGGATTTTCCTGGGGGTGCCCACATCAGCAGGTGGATGTGCTTGCCAGCCAAAGCATGTTTTACCCTTGCACTGGGTTAACATCTGAGCCTGGGCATCTTATTGTCTAGCAACTGCTTCATTATATTGATAGAGTATTAGTCTCTGTCAGTGCCTGTTTATTCAACTACCACTGGCTTTAATTACTCTCTTCAAAAACACCAGCCAGATTTCAGGTGCAGCGCATGATAAGATTGGGATCCTGCTAATTAATAAAACCATCTAATGAGCTTCAGGAGGAGGAAATTGTTGGGAGTCAGCGCTTTACTGCTCACCCAGGAAAGGAGAGCGTGGTGCAACGTGGCTTGAAGTGGGTTCTCCTCTCTCATTTGTGGTGGGAGAGGGAGAAGAGGTGTAAGGGGAGCTCATTAGAAGATGTCTGAATTGCACACTTGCAAGGCAGCTCTCAGCAAGGCTGTTGTTCTTATTGCTGAGCTGCTTTTGCAGACAATTGCAGCTTTAATTTAAACCAGGTCAGGGCCCCCCAAAAAACTTCCTCAGCAGGCAAGGCTTGCAGTGCCATTAGTGTATCATGATCTGGCATGGTCCATTGGGTGAAATTTTAGTTTCTTAGGTGCAGCTTCTCCTTCGAGGGTTGGGAGGAAAGGGAATTGGAGTCTGCACAAATGCAGGAGACCCGAGTGAGCTCAGAAATCCTTAGAGCCCTCATTCGCTCGGGTTGTAGGGAGTCTGCTCTGCAGGGAGCCTCAATTTCTCCTGCCATTGCTCTCCTATAAAATGAAATTAGAGGAGCAATCCCTCCTGGATGTCCAGGATTGATCCCAGAAAGATAGTCCGTCATTTGGTCTTGGATGAGGCATTAAAGGCATGGTGCATTTAATAACATTTATTAATATAGCTACTTGTCATGCGTTAGTGCTATGGGATTGCTCGCTGAGAACAGTCTCTCTAAGGTTACCCACACAACATCATCTTACAGTATGACATTTAAATTAAAAACTGGGAAGAAAAAAAACAACAAAACCCTTATAATTAAAGCAGAAATAATAAATGCCTACTGAATAATCTTCTTGAGCTAATCTCTAGTATCTTTGTTTAAAATGCCAGGAATTTATACAACCAGTTGCATCAATTATAATGTCACTGTAAAATATTTTATAGGTTCTTTGGCAGATGAGTGTCTATTCTTGATTTGACTTCATTAAAACATTTTGAAAACACAAGCAATTAAAATACTTTCAAGTGTGTTGCTGATACTCTTCCAAATGCATTGCTTCATTACAAATTACTTTTTATGCTTGAGAAAATAAGAGCAACATAATATAAACTCAGGAAGACCCCAGGCTCACCCCAGGAAGTTTATCAAACCAAGCATTTCAGAACAGACTTGATTGTAATTTCTGAATAACTAAGCAGGACATCATTAACTCTCTAAATTCAAGACATGTGTTGTCTCAGTGTTGGATGTGCTTGAGTTAGGAGGAGGTGCAGATTTGTAACAGAGAGGGGAATTCACCTTGGAGGGAGGTTTCCTAGGGAAGAAGGGGCTTGCAATCTCGAGAAAAGTTTTCAGTAAGACCACAGTTGTCTTCTAGATACGATCAAAGTCTTGTTGCAGGTAAGATCATGCTCTTCCTGCACCGTCATTGGCTCTAAGTCAGTTGCAAAATGTGGATGTGCTGCAACAGAGCTGGAATAAAAAGCCACAGAATATTTATTTCACAGGGGACCACAAAGATCCTTAGCCTCCATGGGTCTACAGGGTTAGTAAAAAGGCACCCAGGTCCCAGAGCCTTGTGTCTTGTTGCATCAGTTTATATTTAATAAACCAAACCAAGGGCCTGCATTGGAGGGCCCCTTGCTGCCATCTGCATGTGACAGCTTTACAGCACATGGAGAGCTGAATGGGAGCTTGTTCTCCCAGCTCATTTCCTAGCATTACTCTGTCTTAGGCTGTGGTGAAGCTCTCGGAACATAAATCCTGAGCCTGTTTAACAACAGCAAAATGCTTGATTCCCTATGGCAACGTAAAAATAAAGGCCATAAAATATTTTAATAGGCTGTTAATAAGAGCCCCTGCAATCTGGTCCTTGCCTATGTCACTTTAAAGGTTAGAAATACATTATGAAGTATAGAAAATAGAGAGCCAAATAACTCCACTTAAATTAATGAACTTGATAAGGGATCAGGTGTCACCTGGGATACCTTTAATTACTGCACCAACAGAAAAACCATTCAAAGGGCAGTGCCTGAACCAGATGTTGTGTGGCTGATAGATTTGTAGGCACTGTGCAAAGTTGTAAAAATAAACTTCCCTAACCTTCAGGAATAGTCCCTGGATTATTGTGCCAGCATGGGAGATTGTGACATTCCTGCAGTGGGGCACTGGTTAGCCAGGGGTTACCCAGCGAGAGATTTGATGAGTACAGAGCTGGTTTATTTTTGTCCTTGTTAACTTTTCTGGCTTATCCCAGCATTTCAAAAGAGAAGTAGGGTAACCACATATGTGGGTCCTTCGCCCTGTGCCAGTGGCATCCTCCCTATACGACAGGTTGGTACTGAGCCAATTCAGTGGGTTGTGCCCACTGAAACAGCAAGATTTGTGCTCTAGTCCTGCTTTTGAGGCATGTAGCCAGGAAAAGATGTGAGCCTGTGTATGTGGGATATGTTGTTCAGAGCTGCAAGAGTTTTCCATGCCTGCCACTGATGCCAGGAAGATATTGGCTTCCATTTCATAAGAGGTACCATCTCCAAAAGTAGCATGCTTTTACCTAGGCCATTATGAAAAAGTTCTGTTTGATGTCTTCTTTCAGTATATTTACACAGAATTTTTAAGGATTCATCCAGAATGGGGTTCTCTTCTGCCTTTTAATGATCTCTTTAGTATGAAGTGACACAGACAAGAATGCCCAAACAGCTGCCTCTTGGGTGGTGTGTGTAGCTTCTCACCATGCCTCCCCAAACACAGACTGGGAGGGGATTTTCCTTCCCAGCCTTTTACAATGGCTTTTTCTGGGCACTTGAAGTCCACTGTGGCCATTGCTCTTTCATCTGTGTGTGGCTTGCTGGCAAACACAGGTGAGCAGAGGTGGGCAGAGAGGAGTTGTTAGTCCTTGGCAGCTCTGCCCATGTCACACATATCTCGCTCCTGGCCCATCTGAGGCTAAAAGTGGGATGCAAAGGGTGCACAAAAAGCCTCTTGAGCACAAACAAATTTACTGTCAACAAATGTACCCAGGAAGGCATTAATGTGGAAGATTGATTCCCCCAGCCTTTACAAGCTTGCAGGGAAGGCACATCTTTCAAGCCAGGGACTACATAAACTTTTTGGATGGCGAAGGCCTGCTGTGCTGCTTGCACCTGTAGCCTGTGAGGTGGAGACTGTAGGCATATCAGCACAGTGTCGATGCGCTCTTGCTAGCAGATGGCTCCTCATGAGGATGTGTTAGCAGCTGGAATTCTTTGGAGCAGCTGTGAGGCTGTTTTACCGGAGGTTGCTGCTGTGTGGAGTGATTTCTGGAGCAGCTCACAGGCTCTCCTTCGTGCTTTTCCATTGTGCTGGGAAGATGCTGGATGTGCAAAATGTCTCAGATTGTCACAGTAAAGACTACACTGAATCTTTTCCATATTCACATTCCTGTAGGAAGCCTTATGAGACAACAGAAAATACATTACATGTGAATAGTCCAGCACAGTTCTTCCCTTTTGCATCCATCAACTCCTTTCCAGGTGGTCAGGTGTGCACTGTGGCAGCTTGCACACCAGGTTTCCATCCAGCCCATGCCAGATGCTGCAGCACAACAAACCATCCCCATTTCCAGATGCTTAACCACCATTCTCTGTGCAAAACAGGGTTTCAGGCGAAGCCTTTGCATCGCGTGGCAGTGCAGTGCTTGTTCTGCAGCCACTTAAATACTGCTCATTCACATCATCGTGGTTATAGTGAAGGGAAAAAAGAGCTACACTGATGGTAATCCAGATGCACTCTTGAGGATATCTAGTGGAATCTGAGCTCTTGTCTTTGCTGCAAGCTCTCATTGTGCACTGTGTGGGGCTTATTAGTTAATGACACGGAAAACTGATGGAAAATTGGGAGAGGAGAGAATCATTCAGCTAACAAAAGGCAAGTCCTACAAGCAGATTAAGAAGGTTGGTCAATGGGGGTCGAGCAGCTGCTGCACCTGAAGTTACAGTGGACTTTTCCAAATGGCTGGAGGGGAGAGGATGTCTCTCAGCAGAGACCAGAAGCCATCATTTTCTCTTCCTTACAGCCATAACCTTTCCTTTGAAGTTCCCACAGGCATCCATCCCTTCTCTCCCTGGCGCTGCCTGGCTGTGGTTGAGTCTGTTAGTCTTTCCCCAGGCCAGACCAGACTTCCTGACATTCTTCTATGCTGTAGTATGTGGCAACGAGATTTTATTTTGTTTAATTTGGAAGAGCAACACATCAGCTGTAGCTGCCAAGAGTAGTTGCAGACCCACAAGAAAGAAGGCAAGAGGCAAAGGGCTTTGCCAGTTTGTTT